CTGAAGTTGATGTTCTCAAAGCTGTTTCGTTGTATAGTTGAATAAAATTCGGTTTTTATTATACATGATGCATTTTTAATGAGGATGGATCGTGCAGGTAACTAGTATGTTCAAAATCTTGATTAACGTATGTTTGTGAAAATCCTTTTATTTTATTTTTAAAGATTTTATGATGCCTCCACCCTATGATACCTCGAGCATACTTCACCGCTATGGGCATATCTTTAGTGTGCGAAAAAGCATTTCGGGACCAACAATGCCCGTAATCTGAAATATTGATTGACTGGTACGTTTTTTTACCCGTATCCATTTCTGTTTCTGAATTTTATGGCTAAGGTTTTTTTTCAAAATCGGAACCTTATCAATACAATCCTTTCATAGAACTCCGACGAGCAGTACCTAGTTGTCGACTGCAGACAGAGCACACTATCGATGTCCGACTGCCAGAGAAGCGCAGAGCACAAATCACTGTTCCAATTTGGCTTCGGTGAGATGACATACTGCTTAACCTGTCATCTAGAAACGTTCCCTGAGCAGTCCGGCTATGTAATAGGCTCTTTAGTTTGACGTCAACAGGGTGCATTGTCTGCACCCGGCAATTGCGCCGCGTCCGTCGGGGTCCTACGAAAGGGCTGTATGTCTGTCAGTGCTATATCGACACCGAATGTGATGTTCCGCTGTCACTACTACCTTTTGATCTCCATCAGTTCAGCCCAGTTTATACTCTGCTTTTCATGGACTAAGACCAGTAAGGTGGGCGGGACCGTGGACCTTACGAGACTCCACATGTGTCTAAATGGCTTGGAAATGAACGAAAATATTTATATAGAAATGAATTCATCAACATTGAGCTAATTCCCGCTGTTCAATCGGTTTAGACACGTGTGGGACTCCGACGGGTATCTGGACACGCCCACCATAGGGATCTTAGTCCGCGAAAAAGAGCATCGAGCGAATAACCTAAATATTATCCGTAGGAGATGTGCGCTTTTTCAATATGGCTGTTTCGGTGTTATACGTCTATTGTTTTCTTCTAGATTTTTTCGGAGACATTTCACATAACTTCCTTCCCTGAGAGAACATGCTAGAAATTACTACCTACTTCGCTGTGAAGATTCTCTCGAAGATGATGGATGGTTGTGGTCCTGCAGATGCGCCGCTCTTTTTGGATATGTGAAAACTATCAAAATTTTATTTTTACTTTCTAGAAAGAAACAAATGGAGGCTTTCTAAAAATAGATTTGAAAATAAATTTATAATATGTTTTATGTAAAGTATTATGTAAAGTTTACTGGTGTTGGGGATGTATCGCACTAATAATAAAGCCGACTAGAAACTTCTGTGGACGTAAACAAAAAAAGTATGGGCATGGTTCTATTGGTTAAGCACTTGTTTGTCAATCTGAAGAACGCAGTTCAACTCTAGTACATTGGATGAATTCAGAGTTCTTGAGTATGCATGGTCCTGCTCTGCTTTTAAAACTCCAACATTTATGAGGATCTCCATTTCTGCAAATAGCTGTGGCTTCGTGGCGCAGTTGGTGGGGTGTTTGACTGACATTCCGGGGACCAAGGTTCGAATCCCGCATGAGGCACTGATTTTCTATCAGTGGCGGTAGAAGTTTGTTTCTCAGCGGTGTGGACAACCTTTATAAAACCGAAAATATTGCAGTACAAGAAGTGGCTTGATGGCTTAGTGGGTTGTGAGTTTGTTTGCGGGGAGGACGTCGCTGGTTCGATCCCTGTCGGAGGCGATCGCAGGTAAGTTTCATTCTTTCGATTGGAATTTCGGATTTAGATGAGCTGCGGTGTTGGACAACACCAGCTGGCCCTCCCACATGGGTATGGGTCACTCTTTGGGTCAATTGACTGTGGGGCAGCGGGTTTTGCAAAATTCTTGAAGTAAATTGTTTTCTTTGTGTTACGTGTTTTATATAGGTACTCGTTGCTCCCCTTTGTGGCGGAATATCCCCGGCTCCTCCCTCACTTCCCTCCCCTCCTTTGCCTCTGCTCCTCCCTTTCCTCTCTGCCCCCTCCTGCTCCCACTCTCCGTCTGGCCCTTGCCTGCTCCTCCCTTTTACCTTGTGTAACCTGGGCCGGCTGCCTTCGCTCGCCTTACCTTTTCACTGAATGTTGTATTTTCTTGTTCCGTACATTCCGCAAGTTGGCTGAAATTAGTCAAAGTAAGGAAAAATCTCTACCGTATCAATAAACTCCTCAATTTTAAGCAGTCAAGCCCACTGGAACTAGAAGTGCAGACCAGAGTTAATCATCCGCCAGAGGTTCGAATCCCTTAGGCGCTGAATGGTTCTCCAACCACTCTACCATTGGTAGAGCACTCCACAAATTTTGCGGCCAGCACGGGCTACGAACCCGGAGCCACTGGATCGGGAGTCTAGCAGCTTAGCCAGTAGACTATCCGACCACGTTTGATCGGATCTTTTGGGACGGTGATAAACCTTGGATTTGGGAATTTGGTACAATACGAGATGTCCATGTGTCGGAAATTTTATGTTTCCAGAACTTAGGTTTTTTCGCGATCACATGGGGCTAACTTCGTGGGAGGTCGGGAAAAATGGGTTTTGCGCGGATTTGATCTCTCGGCCACTTTCTTGGCAGTCTGCTAACTTACCACTGAACCAAGAACTCTCTGTCTATTCTTTTTCCTTCTAGAATAACCTTGCGGTACGGATTTTTGCTAAGATTTTACCTTTCCAAGGAAATGGATAAAGTTCTTGTCCGTTCTCGAGCCATTCTAGGTGGAATTTACTCGACAGGTGCGTGCCTACGTGACTTTTGTCACAGCAACAGCTGTATCGATCGAGATCACGGTACATCACGGCTCATCACGGTGCTGGCACACGTGCACTTGTCAGGTGAATCGGGTATACATGGCAATAACTGAACTGAACTTTACAATTTTCTAGAAACTACAAACAAACAGATTCCCATATTCACCATCATTTATTAAATGATACAAAGGCACTGAAATAGCAAATTTCACAAAGAATTAAATTGTAACTCACTTAATATAACTATATCGGCTCTGTTTAACAATAAAATAACGTTAACTTTGGTCATCACTGGTATTTTTGGAACTACTTTTCAACAATAAAACAAAAACCCATTGCAACAAAGAGAACAGAGAAAGTACAAGGATGACGGCGTTATGAAGTGATAGTGAGTGCTTATATAATGCATACATATACATACGATAGACACGGCTATGTACCTATAGAGAGAATCACTGGGTTCCATACACGTATACGGCTGTGCGCATTTAGCTGCACAGTTAACAACGCCCCGCAATAGATTAGGTCAACTGGTTAGGGTTACTCAACTAGTAAGAGTACAACGACTAGAACATCCGAATATCTACACCGCGGCCGGCCAGGGCTATTACCTCATCACCGGCTGATGTTCTGACTGCTTGCAGACGCGGCCAACGTGCTCTCCGTCTCGTGCCGACACTCAGACTTCAAGCGGACGAACTCGCGAGCGACCTGAAGGTGAGGATTTTATTCTTTTGAATTTCGCGGGCTAGAACCCGATAAAGCTCGTGTTTTTAGACAAGAGAAAAAACAAAAACTTGGAACTTTTCGGGTGAGTGGGCGGGGCTTACTCACAGAAGTGGAGCGCATTTTAGTCTATCGACAGCTCATTTTTAAGAAGACTATTTTTAAAGGCAGCACTCAAGTTCAGAATGTTTCGTGGGTCCTCCACGGATTCCGAAAAACAAACGAACTCAAAAAATAGGTTGATGTCCAAAAATACCTTGGCTCAGAAGTCATTCTTGATCGCTCCGGATGACCCGCCTGCGATTTCGCGGAAGAGTTGTCCGTTTACTTTCCAAACTGATTAAAGCGTTATAACCATAAATATAAGCGGACTCTTTCATGTTCTCGGGTTTAAAACGATGTGCGATTCTAACAGAAAGCGGAAGAAATGGATAACTCGTCCGCGAAATCTGAACGTGCCTTCGGACATGTTTTTATGGTCAGAAAATTTTTGAGCCAAGAAATTTGAACCTCGGCTAATTTCCTGAGTTCCTCTTTCATAATCGAAATGACTTCGTTTTGAAACGATTTCGCCTTTTCGTAGGTTTTCATTTCTATTATTTTAGTTCTTTTTTAAAATTGCGTCCGACTATAGTAGTTACCGTATCGAGTGTTCAATTAGAGTCTGGTTTTGTCGGGGGAAAATTAGTTACGATCTGCGCATGCCCTGCGGAGTAAAGGAAAAATAGTAACTTCTCCCCTCCCTTTCTCACGATCGAAAAACTGCCCAAAAAAAGACAGAACATAATTATGAGCAAACATTTGAAAGATTTATTGATCGGTCCCAAAAATGTGGCAAGTTTTGAGGCTTTTCAGAAATACGGTCTCTCCTTGCCGCTTTGGAAACAAGGCCTTTGATGTACTGGTTAGCAAGCTTGGTTATAAAGCTAATGACGATGGTTCAGATCACGGATGAGCAGGAGTAACCCTAAATAACCTTTAACTTTTAACTAAATTAAACGATCATACTAAGTGCAGACTAAAATATATTTAATGACAACAAGCGTTCTTGACTTGAAAACTTCACTTAATTTGAAGGCTTAAACTGAAGACAACTTTAAGACGGCTTGATTTTAAATCATTTAAAATTAAGTCTTTCAAGTCAAGAACGCTTGTTGCCATTAAACATATTTTAGTCTGTAGTATGACCATTTAATTTAGTTATGTTTCCTTGAAACTCAAAACTGTCAGGCCTCAATCCTTCTAAAAATTTCCTTTTCCCATTCAAAACTGCGGAAAATAACGAACTTGAAAAAAGCCAAAAACTGATTTAGAGGATAAAGCTTAAATTGTAAACGGAAGATCCCATCCCTGCTTACGTTATATCCTGACCGTAGTTGCGATTCGGATTGTTTCCCGACGAACCGCTTGAACTACCCCTCCATCGAAAAATACATTTTTTTGACACCTCTACCAATTTAACCTACGACAAAGTTTAGTTTAGAAGAAATAGCGAAAAAGCGGGCTTTTTGTGTTTAAGCGAAACGCTAAGGACACAAAAAACTGCAGCACTTTCTCCACAGGTTCTGTAATTAAATAGATGATCTGCCCTTCCCATATAGGCATAAATGGAGCCATTTAAGTAGGAAGTGCTTTTCCGGATTTTATAAAGTTTATATTTAGAAATCAAATGCCCTAATCCGCTCGCTGACTGATGAAACGCTAACTCTATTAGAGTATTTATGGTGAAGAAAGTTCAATCTACATACTTTTTCTATTATTAAGTTTTCAGGAAAAAAGGCTCTTTATCAAGTAGTTTGCCTAGTTTCAGACCTAAAATAACTCTCGTTCTGCCGTTTTAGCCCAACTTTATGCCTCTTAATCCAAATCCGTCAGTGGATTCCTCGAATTTAAGGAAAAAAAAAACTTAACAGGAAACCAAGTAAGCACTAAATTTAGAAAGGTAGGAAAATTTACGACTAATTCACTAAGAGGGAGAGTTGATGAGTTGAGAACCAGATTAGAAAACGAATCAGAAAAATTAGAAAAATGTATAGATTGCGATTATTGCTATTTCTGTAGTCTCTTGAAGATAAACCTGAAAACAAGAAGAAAACTGGCCTAGAACTAGGTATTTTAGACCTGCGTTAGCAATTTCACCACAGATATGTACTTTAAGAACAAAGCAAATCCTGTCCTGAGACCAAATTTTCTTCGTCGCACAGCTTTCGCAGTAAATTTACGTGCAGCTTGATTGCAAGAGCCAAGGTGACGTCAATGGGCATAGACAAGCGCGGCAGAAGATAATAGGATTGGCTTGGACTTGGTTTTTGCAGCCGGAAAAATGCCTGAGGGTAGGAAAGAACTAAGTCGGCGAACAGATGCGAAAAATTAAATTATTGCAGGCGAAAGAAAAGTCCAGGATTTTTAGGGAAACGAGCGGAAAAGTTCATATTATCTTTATTTATAAGAAAAATCGAATTTCTTACCTCATCAGTTTGCCTTTGGCTCAGTATCCTCAGCAGGATCAATCCCGTCTCATCGATATGCAAACGTTGGCCAAGTTGTACCCACATAGCGCAGGATCCTAGAAAAGGCGGTATCGATTGAACCATAAAAACTGTGCAATATTGATCGAAAATATCGATTACCTTGCTCAACAACGTTCGCCAACTGTAGCACGCCCACTCCCACAATACGATCTTCTCTGGCGAAGCAGTAGTCCTTGACTTGGAACATGAGTTCATAGTGCTCGGGCTCTCCTTCATTGCCGAGGAAGCTAAAAAAAATAGATTTTTAAAGTTGGAACCTTGCCAAAACAGCCATGGGCAAGAAATTTCCGCTTACAAGTGGAAAGTCTCGTTGAATTTCGGCGCCCAGTTGCCTGGCTTGCTCTTGGTGGCCATTTTTCGCTTCTTATCGGAGAGGTGGGGTCCAACGAGGTGAACTTCGACGAAGGGCTTGAAGACGGAAGAGGTCTGCCATCGCAGGTCGTTCGCGGCAAGGACTGAAAAAAGGATTTTTTTTAAATTTGTAGCCTTTTTTCAGTTAAAAAAAAACTTACTTTTCACGGTGACTTTCTGCTCTCCAGTTCCAGG